CCACCGGACGGACGCGCCCAGGGCCACTCCCGGCTTCTGTCCTTGGCGAGGCCGAGGTGAAGGGCTCAGTCCCCGGGGTTGCACTTCCTCACTTCGCCCCTGATCCGGAAGTCTAAGTGGGAGAGATGAAAGAAAGATAAGGAAAAGGATGTTAATGATGATACTCCAGAAATAAAACGTGTATAGTCAAGAACACGCTAGAAAATAACCCGAGCGCCTCGGAAAATGTGGGGTGGGCGAGTCAGTAGGGGAAAGCAATAAATAACCTCCATTTCAGGGAACTTTTTGCAGACCACTGGTAGGAAGCATTTAACAAGAAAACTTACCCATATCGTTAAGACTTGCAGGGTCATGCTATAAATAATAATAATCACAACACCTAACATTACATAGTGCTTACTCTGTGCCACGCATTGCTTTAAGTGCCTTTCATGCATATTAACTATATAAATATTTGATCATGGAATCCACACTACAGTCCTATGTGGTGGGCACTCTGTGACCCCCATTCTGACAGATGAAGAGGCCGAGGTGCAGAGAAATGACCTGCATAGGTGGTAGGATGCCCAACTGCGGTTGCATGTCCAAGGTCACACAATTGCTAATGGAGAGGGGGACTGCAAGCTACAAGTGATCTGGGGAGGACCAAGAGTATAAGTGATATTTTGCCCATTATTTCCTTACCTCCACCTGGATTTCAGGAAAAAGCCCTAAATAAAAAACACTCTGTATTGTTATTGAAGAATGGACACACCTTGCCAATGTTGAGCAAGTGTTCAGAGGGACACAGGAACCAGGGCAGCTTTGTCTTCATTGTTCCTGGGATTCCCAGCGATGTCCCTACACTCTTCAACCCCATGTATCCTGCAGGTGCTGCTGATTTCTCTCTGTTCCTGCTCTGCTTAAAAATCACACCTTCGTGAGTTTTGACATGTTTCTTGCCTTTCCCACATTGCACGTTTGGATCTGCTGAACACCTGTTTCTTCTTAAATTCTAACATGGCCATGCATGTTTTTCTGTCTTTGAAGGTCCCTAAGGACAGCATATGGGCAGAAGTCCTGGGGTTCTGATTTGCTTTTGTGTCAGAGGTTAGGCTGCTGGAAGGGCCTGGCCTCCACACAGTTCTTCCAGATTCCTCCAGGCCACCAGCTCTGGCTCTGTCTCCATTCGAAGTTACCTAGTTAGTGAGATAAAGCACCCCAAGGTGCCTTAACCATGATCTTACTTCACACAGTAGAGCTCTAATTATTCATTTTACAAATATTGGGGGAACAAAGGTGATTACTTTGAAGCAACTAAGTTTTGACTTAAAACATTTCCCTGGTCATAGTATATGGAAACACTGAACAGTGATTAGCTTATTAATTCATTATTCAACACACGTTTGTTGAATGTCTGCCATTGAGTGTGCAAAGCCACAGAGAAGAGAGGTCAGGTGGTGGCATTTTCTGTTTTTTTTTTTTTTTTCTGGAAGGGCCGTGGCAATTGGGCCTCCATGTGTGTCTAACCCACATGTCATGCCTGCACCTCCAAGTCCGTTTCCCATCACACTGGACACATTGATGCTCTTCACACACGCCTTGCACAGTCCTCCTCCATTTGTTTACATCAGTGGTTCCTGCTGGTTCTTCCCCATGTCGATGTCTCCTCAAGTGCTGGCACAGCTGCCACCTTCTCAAGGGTGTCTTGAATAGGCTTGAGTGCAACTCACCGTGAGCACGCAGCACCTGGCCCTACCTGCCTCATGGTCTGGCTGTGTTGGAGCCACTTTTGAATCTCTTTACTCTCTCCTGCTTTGCTTTCCCCACAATGTGTTTTGTATTGCACACAAGGAGTCACATGGCATTTTGTACAACTCAAGTCTTCATTTTTGGTGAGTAAATTAGTAAATGAGGGATGTGGATCTGGAGCAGGGCCTTGAGAGGTAGACGAGACTTGAATAGAAGGAGGTGAGACAAGAATTTGTGACAAGCCCGGGGAATGAAAGGCACAGGATCTAGGTTGTGGGCTCAGCTCCCAGGCTTGTTCCTGGGACGCAGGGTATAGAAGAGGAAGATAGGCAGTGATGGAGAACGCTCCATTTAGCTCCCTCCCTTATCAGAGGGGAGATGCTCACTGGACACTTTGGTGGTGACCTCCATTGCTACTGGCATGACTGCGGCCTGGTTGGCCTCTGCCTGCCTGGCTGTGCAGCCTCTCTGTCCGAGCTGAGGCTGCAGTGTTCCCCGTGGGGCAGTGGCTGCTGATTAGCATGCTCTTCCTGCTCCTGGACAGAGCAGATGTCTGTTTGCTTTTTCTTTTCTGCTTAATGATGATGGCAGGTTCCCAGTGATCAAGATCCAGTTTCACATTTTCTCAAATGTTGTGGCTAAGAAATTCTGTTTGGCCCGTTCAGAGACCCAGCCCCAACCTTTGCAGGGAAATTTTGCAGATTCGCATGAACAGAGGGTGCAGAAGGCTGAGAATTACAGCACTTGGCCTTGCTAAGGTGGAGCAGTGAACAGAGAGAACACTGAGCACAATCTCCATCTAAATACGTACGCTTTCCTGTGTTTCCCTCTCCACTACCATCAACAGGACCTTTGTGAGCTTGTAAATCCACTGTTACAAAGGGACATTTGGCATATGAAAGAGTTTCTCTTTGGAAGGGGGAATGTATTGGCTGCTTCCTCAATTATTAGTAAGTCAATCAGATCTTTTCTTGCCACGAAGCGATTTTGGGATAGAAAAGTAAACATGGTGAGGGTCGAGAGGAAAGCTGCATCCAGAGCCTGCAGAGCTGCCCAGCACCTCATGGAGGTCCACCTCCACAGCTCCTTCC